GGAGTGGATCGTTGTTTTACAAATCAGCATTTTAAAGAAAGAAGATTTTATTTAAACCTTTGACATGCCACTTTCTAGCTGTTCCTATGGGGCCAGCTTTGTGCCTCCTCCAGCCTGGTCTGTTAATGATGGAGCACCCATTCCCATACTCAAGCCCTGCTTTTTGTTGGATAGAGAGCCTAGGCCCTAGGACTTCCTTTGGTCTCATTTCGAGGCCTGCAGAGCTGCTGCCAGTCAGGGCAGACTGCACTGAGCTGCACGAACCTAGAACTGAAGAGTTGGAAGGGTTCCCAAGGGTCATCTATCTCAACCCCCTGCAATGCAGGGATTGCAACTAAAGCATCCCAGTAGAAGGCAACTCTCAATGTCCTTCAGGAAAGGGGGCAGCCGAAGAAAGAGATAAAAGGGTGCACCCCACCCCCATAGTTGGTTCAGCTATGTCCACCACCAGCATGTGGCCGCTGGCAGATGTTCCCCAGGGAATGCGGCCTCTGTTTGAAAAACCCTGCAGGGGCCACCTTGGCCTTCTCCGCTGTGTTGCCAGGCTTCCTCTGACCGGACACCAAACAGGAAGCAGCTGCAGCTGACCTCTGTAATCACTGGTGCTTTTTCCCCTTCCCCTTTTTGAAAAAGGAAAAGAGTCCCGGTTGGCGTGGAAGCGGAAGGGGGACGCTTCAAGAGAGCCTCAGACTCCTTTTCCTCCTCCTCGCTCTTAGGGATAGGAGTGGTCATCCTTTGTCTCACTCTCCATTTTAAGAGCTCAGAGCTGCAAAAAAACTGCAGCTTTGATCCAGATGAGCCTCTGTAAGCAGCACCCATGTGAAACCTGATAATGGAGACGGGGCAGAAACATTGTGATGGTTTCAGCAGAAATGGGGGAGAGGGCACCCACCTGCAACTCAGGCCCCCCTCTGATGGGTTGGAGGTGCTTTGAAGTCGGAGGCTCCTTGACCATCAGGGCTAAAGGCAGCAGCCTCCTGGGACAGTGCTTGTGGCGGAGGGTGGGTCTGTCTTAAGAACGCAAGAAGGGTGTGCTGGGTCAGGCCAAAGGGGGCCCTTCAATCCAGCATCCTCTCCTCAACAGAGGTCAGCCCGACGCCTCTTCCTGCAAACCCATAAGCAGAGCACTCTCCCCTCCTGTGGCTTCCAGCAACTGGTATGCCTCCAGTGCTCGTGCAGTTTTCAAATCATATTTGTAGTAGAATCCTAGAACTGTAGAGTTGGAAGGGACCCTGAGGGTCATCTAGCTGAACCCCCTGCAAGGCAGGAATATGCAGCTGTCCCATGCGCCAGGGATCAAACCTGCAACCTTGGTGTCATCAGCACCATGCTCTGCAAATTCTGGATGTGCCTCTGCTAAAGCCAGACTCGCACGCCAAAAGGCTAACCTGGAAGGAAGGTGGGGTAAAAATCAGACCAGTGGGTCTCCGCTGTCTCCTGCTTTGTGAAGGCGGAGGCTGTGCTGGTTCCTTCCCTTCCCATCTGCCAGCAGAGCTCTCTCTTCTGGCTGCTCTTGCAGCAGCTGCAGGCAACCTCCAGGAGGTTGAGAAACTGGGACATTTCCTGGGAACTTGAGCTGCTCCTCTTGCTGCGGATAATTGGGGACCTTTGAGAGTTGGCGGAAACCTCTTTTTCCTGAACAGTTGCTTAATTTAAATACTGGCTGGTCAAAGGAGTATTTGCTAATAATTCTCTGGGCTGGTGGCTTTCTGACTCGCAGATGCCGTCTCCAGGCGGAAGCTGGTGTTGGAGGAACACGTACCCTGTCTCGTTGCCACGTAAGCCTCTGCAATAAGCTTGCAAGCCTCCTCTTTGCCCTCTGAAGTCAGCTTGCATAAGAGGGGACCCCCCCCCATTGTAAGAGCGTCTCTGGAGAAGCTGGGCACGGATTCCCCAGGCAGGGATTCTCTAATTGCAAGTCCTGCATTGCCGGAGGTTGTGCTAGATGACCCCCAGGGTCCCTTCCAACTCTACCATTCTATGATTCTAAGTTTGGTGGGCGCCTTTCTTGCTGCTGGCCATCATATTTCATATTTGATGAATTATTGTATTTTAATATTTTGCTGGAAGCCGCCCAGAGTGGCTGGGGAACCCCAGCCAGATGGGCGGGTCTTAAATAAATTATTATTATTATTATTATTATTATTCATGATTCCTGCCTTCGTAAGTCTTTATATCAGTGGTTTCCAGCAGTGTTAAAAACTCAGATATATAACTTAAATGCCAATACACCTTACCTTAAACCTATGTTACGGTCGCCACAACGGAATGTCTAGGTGCCATTCCCCTCATAGGGTTTATTAACTTCATCATTATCATTTCTATAGCACTTTATATTTTAAAGAAAAAACCTTAAAGCGGTTAAGACATCAAATAAAACAATCCGGAATAAAACAAATTCAAGCATCAAGGGGAATATTTCACGTCCTCCTCTAAGTGACATTTGGCTTCCCCAATATTTATTTACCAACTTAATTCATAGAGCTGCCCCACAGCAGGGGGACTCTAGGAAGGCAGGGTGGTGTAGTGGTGAGAGCAATCAGAGTTTGAATCCCCACTCCCTCAGGAAACTCACTGGGCGGCCTTGGAGTCTGTTGCAGCCTCTTTGCCTTCCTCGCAGGGTCATTGTAGGGATTAAGAGAGGAGTGGGGTGAACCATGGACTTCTGGGAGAAAAAGGTGGGAGATCATTGCCGTGAAGAAGCTCTTCTGCTGAGCTGCTGAAGAAAGCTGGAGATGTCACCTGTCAGTCTGGCGCCCAGAGATCTCCACAGGGTCCCAACTAATAGCAACTAATAGCAATAGCTAATATTGCAAAACGTGTCTGGCACCTGGGGAATTTTGAGCACTGGTTCCAAAATGCTTTGGGGCTACAAGATCCTCCCTCGGCCACCTCCCCTACTCCATAAAAAGCATTATTCAGAGTAGCGGTTTCCAAACCACTGAGGAAGATTATACGTACCCCAATAAAATTATACTGTAACAATTGCACAGTTATTCAAAACTCAGTTAAATTTATTTTAGTTTAATTCAACAAGACTGAGGCACTGCTTTTCCAAGTTATTTAGCAGGGCTCTTTGCTACCACGCTCCGTAACTACTTCAGTGTTCAGAAAACTCTGCCATGGGGAGCTTGATGAAATGATTCCAGTTTCCCACTGTCACTCATCCGGAGTCTTAAATCACTACCTCCTGTGCTGCCTCGCTGGGGAATCCCACAGCCCCCTTTGTGTGTGGGCTCCTCATTCTCAGTCTTTCCCAGCCTCCTTCAAACAGCAGCAGCGGCATTTCTGGTTCCCCCCACCCCCGTTTGGGATCTCGCTCTGTTGCTGCCTGCGCCCTCGGGAACCCCATGCTGGTGGCGCTGGGCTCTGCTCAGGCGGCAAGCAGCATGCAGCCGCAGTGAAGACACGCAAACACCCACGTGCCGCGCCAGGCCAGTTTCTGAGAGCTGCAGTCTTGCATCTCAGCTGACACCACCTGCGCTGGTCTTATGTAAGCTAGCGGGTCATCATGGGGGGCGGGAGGCATAAGAGACATTTTGGGGCCTCAGTGCAAGCAAAGCAAAACTCGCCTCCTTGTTCTGCGGGCTGAATGAACTTGTGGTTTCTTGTGGCCGGTCCTTGATCTTCTCATCTTGCCTTGCTGCTGTAGGCGCTTTGGAGAGAGAGATCCTCTTTGCCGTTATGGCTGTCTCTTGCAAAACTGAGCTGATGTGATGTCTGCCCCATACAGGGAGAAAGCTGTTGGGATGTTTGCCGTCTGGTCCCTGTGAGGGAAGGGGGAGCTGTCAGCTCTGGTCAGCAGCTAAACACGTGGGGGATATGGCATTATTGTATTTTAATCTTTTGTTGGAAGCCCCCAGAGTGGCTGGGGAAACCCTGCCAGATGGGGGGGGGTATAAATAACAAATTATTATTATTACTTTGAACCCTCCAGATACGAACTTGATTCATCCTGGGGGTCTATACTAACCCTGCAAAGTCCATATCCGGAGGCACTGCTTCTGTGCACGCGCGATAGAGCGCTTCTGTGCACATGCGCGTGGCGCGATAGAGCGCTTCTGTGCATGTGCGCGTGGCGAAACCTGGAAGTACACACTTCTGGGTTTGCCGCGTTCGTAGCTCGCAATTACGTTACCCGAAGGTAAGATAACCCGAGCTACCACTGTGGTGGTGGTGTTGTTGTTTGTTATCATGAAGCAGCAAGAGTAGTTCTCCGATGGCTGGGAAGAGATCTCAGGAGGTGGGAACCAAGGCACCCGAAAAGCAGCAGAGGAATAAAAACCGGGGGAAGGAGCAGGGATAGAACCTCAAGATGCATAAGCTAATTTCCAAATGGTGCCTTAAACCTCCGTTGCAGTCGCCACAATGGAACGCCTGAGCGCCTTTTTTGCAATGGGAATTATTAGTCTTGTTGTTCATTTAATTTCTGTATGGCTTTATATTTTAAAGAAATAATCTCAAAGTGGTTGACAACACATTAGACCATCAAATAAAACAATCCAGAATAAAACAAATTCAAGCATCAAGGAGAGTATTTCAGGTCCTTCTCTAAGTGACATTTGGCTTTCTCCATATTTATTTACTTTCTTAATTTATAGAGCTGCCCCATAGCAGAAGAACTCTAGGGAGCCAGTGGGTGTAGTGGGTAGAGTGTTGGACGAGGACCTGGGAGATCAGGGTTCGAATCTCCACTCCGTCATGAAGCTCACTTGGTGACCTTGGAGTCAGTCATGGCCTCTTCACCTACCTCACAGGGCCATTGTAGGAATTAATGGAGGTGGGAGTGAACCATGGATTCCTTGGACAAAATGGTGGGAGATAAATGCAGTAAACAAGTTCTCCTGCTCATAATTCTGGAGGGACCAGCCAGAGGGAGCACATTGGCGGCCACCTTCCCTGGCTCTTGGGGGCCAAGGGCTCCAGCCGCAGTGGCCCTCCCATTCTTGGCAGTCTGCTTAGCACCACTGTTTCTCTCCCTCCCTCTCTCCCTCCTCCAGGGATCCGTTCTTGGGACATCGACTTGACTGCCTGCAACCTTGACCAGCAGCTGAAGCTCTTTGTCTCCCGCCACTCAGCCACCTTCTCCGATATTGTGAAAGGTAAGGAGGTGGCAGAGGCACCTCCCCCGTCCCTCTGGCAAGGACTAGGGCCTCCCCACCTGCCAATGCCCTCCCTGCTCTCGGGCAGGCAAGCCTGTCGACAGCAGGCTCAGCCAGTCCCCCCTCCAGGAATGAGCCGGCTGGGTCCTCAGATGACTCTGCCCACCCACTCCGCCTGATGTAGAACTAACGGTGGAATTCTGGGCCAGGGAGGCTGCAGGAGCCGCTGGGAAGCACCTGCTCCCTTCTTGGTCCGCAGGGCAAGAGCGTCCGCTTCCCTTCTCCTTTTGTGCAAGGGGAAGGCAAACCTTGTTTTTCTCCTGCACTGGAGACACAGAGGCCCTTGCTCCCAGGGCAAGGCTCAGGTATCAGGGTCAGAAGCTCAGATATATAAGCTGATCACCAAATGGCACCTTAAACTGTTGCCACCACAGAACGTTTACCGTTATTTTTCATTTCATTTTTATGTCGCTTCATATTCATATCTCTGCCTTGGTGTGGAGGCCCCTCAAGTTGCCCAGCATCACCTCCAGGGCCTGCTCCTTTGGCTGCCCCTGATATTTTGTCCATCAAAAGGGAGCCAGCGGCTTCTTGGCCAAGTGCCCAGCACCCTGATGGGACCCTTCCCCTCCTTTGCAGCAGGGGCAGTTTAATGTTTTCGGAGCTCCCAGCTGGCGTGATCGCCAGAAAGCTCAGGGCTCCAGTTCCACACTTTGGGACGCTGCAGGCAGGCGTCTGAGTTGCAGCCACTTGGTTGTCGTTGGTCTGTCTCGAGAGACCGTGGAGTGTGTCTCTGGGGGTGAAGTCCAACTACTGCATGAGCAGCACTGAAGGGACCTTCCCGAGGCACAAGCCTGGCCCATGTGTTTGGGGGTCCAGACAAGACCCCCATCTCGGCCCAGCTGATGGTGTCCAAAGGAAGGCAGAGCAAGACACTGGGCTCCAGCTTGGCTGCAGGAGTTGCCGGAAGGAGACGTACAAGGTGCCATCCCAGCCGTCTTTGGGACTCCATTCCGGATTTGTGTAGGGTTTGCTCCTGAGCCTTATCTTCTGAAGATACCCTGTGAGGTAGCAGAGATTTAGGATCAGAGTTTTGCTTCTCTGAGATGGAGTCCCTTCCCTGGTGCACAAGCCCCATCTGCGGTTCCAGCCACTGCAACCCCACAAATTGATTGCTTGCCTCAAGCAGCCTTAAAATGGCCCCAGGGCCATTTTAAACTCCTCTTAATAGTTGTGCTGTGACCTTTGTGGGATCAATGGCTGAGAGACAAACCCTCTTCAGGTGCCTTCGAGTGTCTTGAAGCCTCTTGGCCAGAGATCTCACAGGATTGGGAGGAGGAAGAGAGAGAATCCAGCAGCCGGCCTTGCTGGAATCTGGCAGTGCTGCACTGCCACCTTCTGGGGAGATGAAGCCTTGCAATGGGGAGCCCTCCCCTCCAGAACCGCTGCTTTCTTCGCCATTAAACATCAGGGAGAACTTTCTGAGGGTGAGGACTGTTCAGTAGCAGGATGGACCCCTCCCTGGAGATGTGGCGTATTCCCCTTCAAGATATCTGTCCTGGGTGCTATAACTGAGATTCCTGCATTGCAGAGGGTTGGGCTAGATGACCCTCGGGACCCTTCCAACCCCCTACAAAGTAAAGGCAAATCATATATATTCTATATCACAGAACGCCATCACCAATCAACCACACCAGACCCAAACCCAGACCCTCTCCACAGATAAATTACAGACACCATCCAGTAGCCAAACCATGGTGGCACCTCCGGATGCTGCACCCCCCTGCAATCCCTACACAGATCTGGCTGGCACAGGACACAAAACCACAGCTCGCCCCTATACACGAAGCCAAGCCAGAGCACAACTAAAAACTCTTCACAAAGTTCAAGAGGTCAAGACACGAAGGCTTTAGCAACTAATCCACACCTAATGACCCACCTAAGTGGTACTCAGGATATCACTCAAGAAATCACTCAAGATATCCCTCAAGTAATTAAGGAACAAAAGAAGAAAAGGCACACTAGCCTGGGAACTTCCTCTCTGCCCAGAACATTGGAGGCTATACACCACACCCCCTCAACAGTATTGATAGGAACTCAAACACTGAGATCCTGCTCTGTTCCAGTAACAAGAAGCCGAAAGCACCAGCCTGAAGATGACGAGTGAGACCTCGTCGAAACGTCGCCTAGACACCCCAACTTTTACACGGGAAGACACCCGAGGACACCAAAACCTGCATATATATGATTATATATATCCCATTATGCACACACACAGATTCAAAAGTTACACTGCCCTAATATCACAGAATGATCACTCCGATCCTCATTCCCACATCGGTGTCATGTTGGCTCGCCCAATATGCTAAATAAGAACCCAACTGCAAATTGTATTGCTAAGGTTCATGTGGAAAGGCATTGAGAGCCAGGCTGTCTTTATCATCATGCCGCTATGTGAATCTGTGATGCCTTGCAGGAGGTTGGGCTAGATGGCCCTTGGGGGTCCCTTTCAGCGCCACGACACTGTGGTCCTTCTGCCCCGGAGCCTCCCTTTCAACTCTGTCGCCTCGTTTTCCCTCCCCAGGTCAGCGGGCTCTGCACCATCGCGGAGAACTCCTGGAGACGCTGGTGCTGCTGAACCCTTCCGACAAGTCCATCTGCAATGAGGCGAGTTGCCAGAAGATGCAGCTTGAGGGCAGAAGGCTCTTGGGCTTGGGTCCTGCTTACGCTTTCTTCCCCTTGACCACTGTGAGAACAGGATGCCGGGCTCGATGGGGCCCCTTTGACCTGATCCAGCTACCAGGCTTTTGTGGAACCTCCAGGTCCAGAGGCAGTCTATCTGGATCCCTGGGTTCTTAAGAGGGTATTTGGCCATTGCACGAAGAGGACGGTGGGCCCCCTTTGGGTGAATTGGAGAGCCCAACTCCAGAGAACATGAATGGGTAAAATCCTACTTCTGAAACGGGTCTTGGGGCCTGCATGGTACACCCACGCCAGCTTTGCATGGCACTGGAGAGTCCATGGACTGTTCCCAGGGCCTGGAAATAGGAAAACCCAACAAGGCTCTAGAGTCTTTTCCGGCACTGCAGGGGGGTGGACTGGATGACTCTCAGGGTCCCTTCCAACTCTACAATTCTGTGGTTCTGTTGACAGAGGGTTGGCTGGAAATAAGCCCCAAGAGGCTGGAAATCTGAGGGCCTTCCCTCCGAGGCCTGACTTTCTCTCTCACCCTGCAGCTCTGCAACCTGGTCACGGACCCTTCGCGCCACAAGCTGCTGATCTTTGCTGGGCCCTGCATCGAGGAGACGGGGGAGCTGGTCCTGCAGACGGGCACGTTCTCCTTGCGAGACTTCATCCAGATCTTCGCCGACAAAGAGGTACGTCTCCCCAGCAGCAGCCTGGAGCAGCAGGGAGGAGTTAGCCGGTGATGCTGGATGGGCTGGGGTGGCAAAAGCGGGAAAGGGCTGGCAAAGACCCTCCCCTAAATGAATCCTTCCAAACTGGGTAGGAAGCGGTTGGTGTGGAGGCTGTTACTCTGGCCAGACAGCGGGAGACCAGAGAGGAAGAAGGATGCTCTGGGCCTCGTTTTACTTCCTTTTTCGTTAGAAGTACTGTAACTATACAACCTTTAGAAGACACCTGAAGTTTCTCCTTTTAATGTTTTCTTATGCCTTTGTGTATGCTGGAAGCCACCTAGAGTGGCTGGGGCAACCCAGTCGTCATTAAGTTGTGATGTTAATAGTCGTTGTTGTTGTTGTTGTTGTTGTTATACCACCATGTCCATCCGGCTGGGTTTCCACAGCCACTCTGGGCAGCTCCCAGCAGAATAGTAAAAACATGGTAAAACATTAAAAACCTTCCTATACAGGGCTGGCTTCAGATGTCATCTAAAAGTCAAATAGTTGTTTATTTCCTTGACATCTGATGGGAGGGCGTTCCACAGGGTGGGAGCCACTACGGAGAAGGCCTGGTTCCTTGTAACATCACTTCTCGCAGTGAGGGAACCAGCAGAAGACCTTGGAGGAGGACCTAGTGTCCGGACTGAATGATGGGAGTAGAGACGCTACTGGAAGGGGCAAGGTGTTTATTCCAGTGTGGGAATTCACCAATAGAAGAGCTGAAAGGAGAAAGATTTTGGAAGACTTTCTGGGTGACTCTTCCAACTGGAAAAGGAACCCCAAATGATTGGCATTATTTATTTATTTAACCCCACCCATCTGCCTGGGTTTCCCCAGCCACTCTGGGTGGATTCCAGCACATATAAAAATTGTAACAAAACATCAACCATTAAAAACTTCCCTGTATAGGGCTGCCTTCAGATGTCTTCAAAAAGTTTCATGGTTGTTCAGCTGGCGTTTGATGGGAGGGTGCTACCACCGACAAGGCCCTCTGCCTGGCTCCCTGTTGCTTCACATAATTGCAATGAGGGAACCCTCCAGAAAATCCTCAGCTGGACCTCTGTGTCCAGGGTGGACATTTGGGATGGAGACACTCCTTCAGGTATACAGGGCGGAAGCCATTTAGGACTTTTAACGGTCAGCACCAACACTTGGTGTTCTCGGAAGCGTATTGGGAGCGAGTGACGATCCTTTAGTACCAGTGTTATGTGGTCACTGCAGTATATGGTGCATAGTGCACTGACACCTCTCTCTCTCTTTTGCCAGGTTGGGGAGTTGCTCAGCTCTGCAGACCCATCTGCCAGGACCAGCCTGACGGTCATTTGCCCGGACTTTGGGGAATGGAAAGCTTCCCGGCTGGGTCAGCACAACCTGTTGGACTTCATTGACCTCCGCTTCAACCCAGGCCCCGTGCTGCCCGAGATGGAGGGCCTGCAGGAGTTCCTGGAGTATCTCTCGGAGTCGCTGGACCCCCCGTCGCCCTTTGACCTCCTGGAGCCACCCAGCACCGTCGGCTTCCTGAAGCTGTCCCGCCCATGCTGCTATATCTTCCCTGGCGGCAGGGGCGACTCGGCCTTCTTTGCCGTCAACGGCTTCAACATCCTGGTCAATGGCGGCTCCAACCCCCGCTCGTCCTTCTGGAAGCTGGTGTGCCACCTCGACCGTATCGACTCCATCTTGGTGACGCATGTGGGTACTGACAGCCTACCCGGCGTCAACAGCTTGCTGCAGAGGAAGCTGGCCGAGATGGAAGAGGATCCCTCCTCGCAGGGTTCGCCAAATGAGGACTCCGTGAAGAACCTCATCTCCCCAGAGCTGGGCGTTGTCTTCCTCAACGCCTCTGAGAAGCTGAAGACCATTGCGGGTGACTCAGGCGTCCTGAAGAGCTGCGACGAGGCCAGCTTGGCGCTCCACTACCTGGACAAGCTGGGCATCCAGCCCAGCCCACTCTGCAGGGACGGCGGCCCCAAGGTGGAGCCCACTGTCCTCTTCCAGAAGATGGGTGTCGGGCGCTTAGATATGTACATCCTGAACCCGGTGAAAGGCAGCAAGGAGCTGGAGGTCCTGATGCAGCACTGGTGCGGCAATGGCTGCCCCCAGGGGCTGGAGCTGCCCCTGCACTGCGTGACCTCCATCTGCGCCCTCCTGGTCTGGCACCCCGTCAGCCCCACAGAGAAGATCGTCCGGGTCTTGTTCCCCGGCTGCACGCCCCAGAGCAAGATCCTGGAGGGGCTGGAGAAGGTCCGGCACTTGGAGTTCCTCAAACATCCGGTGGTCACCCAGAAGGACCTGGAGTCAGGGTCCTCCTCGGGCAGCACCCCACAAAGCCAGCAGAAGAGGACCACCAGCCAGGAGAGCCTCAAGTCTGGCTCCAGGCTGAGCCTCCCAGAGCCCAAGGAAAGAAGGGAGGCAAAGGCGGCAGGCACCAGAGAGCGCCCCATGGCGCCCAGCGAGACCTCAAAGGGCAGCCTGGAGGAGGAGCAGGTCAAGGAGACTCGTACCAAGGTGGAGCCGTCTTCTTCTGTGAGGCCCAAGCAGCTGAAGGAGAAGCCAGTGGCCAAGAAGGACACAAAAAAACTCTTGCCAAAGAATGACGCTGCCCCCCCAGGAAAGGTGCCCAAACGGGAGGCGAAGGTGGATCCCCCCAGGAGGGAGACGGCGGCCAAGAAGGAGGAGAAGGCAGCAGTGAGGCAGCCGAGTCGGGAGCTGAGGAGGTCAGCCAGCGCGGAAGCCAAGAGGCCCCCCACCAAGATGGGCAGCTTCAAGAAGACCCTCCCCAGCCTCAAGAAGCAGGCAGAGAAGCCGAAAGCCCAGCCTTTGAAAGAGGCTCCTCTCAAGATGCCCAGCAGCGCCAAGGGGGCAGCAGGTGGCCTCTCGGATGGGTCCAAGTCGTCAACGGAGAATGGGGCGAGGGAGGACTCTCGGCCAGAGGTCCTGGGGGCTGAGTCGACAGACGAGGGCATCACTACAGCGGAGAGCGAGCTGGAGCCATCGCCGCTGGAGTGTCCCGGGAATGGGGTGCTGGCGGCCCAGAACGGCCTGTGTACGGGGGGAGACCCTGAGAGCCCCCAGCCCTTCCGGCACCTGGAGGCCAGCTCTCCGCTGAGGGGTGCAGGCCCCCCATCGCCACTGGCTAAGACCCCCAAGAGTGAGCGGAGCGTCAACTTTGAGCAGACCCCCACGGGCACGCAGGCAGGGCTCCACCCCGAGGGCGAGGAGGCTTGCGGCAGCTCCGAAGAGAAGACCCTGGAAATGATGTCTCCAGCCAGCTCAGGCCCGGCCAGCGCCAGGCACACTCCTTTCCACCAGTCCCCCGTCGAGGACGTCGTCATGGCCGAGGAGCCGGCGGCCCTGACCAACTCCTGGCGCCCGGAAGGCTCTGCCACCGGGCTCCGTGTTTCGCGGGACAACTCCAGCTCCTCGCAGGAGAAGCCGTCAGGATGCCTGTCACCCGGCCTCTTCCGCGATGACCTCCCGGACGTCTCGCCCACCATCACCACGCCCTCACTGCCAGCCGAAGTGGGCTCGCCGCACTCCACCGAGGTGGATGAGTCCCTCTCCATGTCCTTCGAGCAGGTCTTGCCACCAGTCAGCGAGTTCCAGGAGGAAGCAGAGAATGCCCGCCCGGGGGGACTCACCCCAGAGCCGGACGTGGGCAAAGGTGGCCTATCCTTGCCCGTCCGGCCCTGCCACCCGCATCACGCCCAGCGCTTGGACGGCCACTCCCTGGCACGGCGCGCCCGCCGCTCTGACTCACCCCATGATGTGGACCTCTGCCTGGTGTCCCCGTGCGAGTTTGAGCACCCCAAGTCGGAGCGCTCGCCCTCAGCCAACTTTAGCCCCCGGGACATGTCGAACAGCAGTGACTTCTCCCAGGAGCTGACCAAGCCGCTGGTGGGCCAGCGAAAGGGCCCGCGGAGCCGCAAGCCCTACCCCCTGGCTGATGAAACCCCACCCACGTCACTCAGCGAGTCGCTGCCCACCCTCTCGGACTCTGACATCCCGCCCGCCACGGAAGAGTGCCCTTCCATCACGGCGGATGGTGGGCTGGACTCGGACGATGACCCTGAGAACCTGGTGCGGGCTCGCGACCCTCTTCCGGCTGCCCTGAAGGACCCCCTCCCGCTCCCCGCTCAGCCGGGCATCTGCATGGTAGACCCTGACCGAGAAGGGGCGGCCAAGGGCAAGAGGCCGGCGACCCGGGTAGGCTCCGCTCCGCCCAAAGCAGACTCAGCCCCCAGAGGCGCAGCCCACAACAACAGCCGCATCAAGCCTTCCTCGGCCAGCGTTGGGGAGAGAGCCCGGGCGCCCACTCTGAGCCGAAGTGAGTCGGCTGCCTCCCGTGCCAGTGGGGACCACCGGGCATCCCTTGGACAGCGGCCAGCAAGCAGCAGGCTGTCCTTGGGGGCAGGCAGAGCATGCCCTGCAGGTAAGAAGAGGAGGGACGGGAAGGGATGGAAGGATGGATCTCATCAGCCCCAAGCACAGTGCCAGGAGGGTGCCCGGATCAGGCCTTGTCCAGATAAACAGGGAGGCAGGTTTTATCTCCACCCAAATTGTTTTGAAACTGTGTACTTCAGGTGAGGAGCCAAACAGGCTGCCTGGTCTCTTGGGTGGTTCTCGATCTCAATGTTCTCTGCAAGTGCCTAGCAGCACCTCGGCGTTTTGGACCTCGTGGGAGCCCCAGAGCGGCCCTCTCCCTTTATGTGCTGCATGTTGTGATGCACATGGGCAGCAGAGAAGAAAAGTCCTTTTTCCCGTGTGCAAATAGCTGGGTTAAATTCTGATTTTGCAGCCGTTCCTTTGTGTTTGTGCTGCATCCAGTGGAGGGTGGGGGCATCCCAGCCGGCGTCTCCCCTCCATGCCCATCTTGCAGCCAACGCTCCCCATTTTTCTCCTGTCCCCCAGGTGCCAGGCCCAGTTCCGTGCGGCCCCCCGTCTACCTGGAGCTGGCCTACATCCCGGGCTCGGCGAGTGCCCAGTGGGTGGACGAGGACTTCTTCCGCCATGTCCGGTCGCAGTGCTACGTCATCAGCGGCGAGGACCACATCAAGGAGGGCGTCATGCGGAGGATCTTGGACGCCCTCCTGGCCGGGAAGCAGCACTGGGCGCATGACACCCAGGTGGGCAGGGCCAGTGGGTTGCTTGCCATAGCCTATCTCGGGGCTTGGAGATCCCGCTGGGGTCTTGACCTCCCTGGGATCGAGGCCCTCCTATGCCGAGGATGCTCTCTAGCGGGACTCGTTTGGTGCCCGCTGCAACCAGGGCGGCATTCAGTGGCAGGGTTAGAGAATGGGTAACATGGCAAGCGGGGGGCCAGGAGGCAGCTAGGCACTGCCTGCTCCCTTCGTGGTCTCTAGGGTGAGAGCGGCTGCCTTCTCTTTTTGTGCCAGGGAAGGCAAACCTTGTTTTTCTCCTGCGGTGGATACACAGCGACTTTTGCTTGCTGGGCAAAGCTCAGGATTAGGGTTAGAAACTCAGAAATATAAGCGAATTGCCAAATGGCACCTTAAACTGAGGTGGTGCTTCTACCACACTCCTTTTTTTTTTTAACAGTGAAAATTATTGTTATATTGTTTTTCATTTCTGTATCACTTTATATTTTAAAGAAAAAACCTAAAAGCGGTTTACAACTAGGGCTGGGTGATAATCTGGTTTTCAACATTGGGAGACATCACCAGCTAAACATCACAATATACTGATAGATCAGAATGTCTGAAATAAGGATGGAGCTGGCTTCACGGGTTTTTCTACATTGTGATTTTTGTATAGCAGACGCACACAAGATTCACAATATATTACCAGGTCAAAAATTATGAAACCAATAACACAGTATGGACTTGAAACTAGTTTTGGACGATATGTCAATATATAGGTAAAGGGACCATTAGGTCCAGTCGCGGCCAACTCTGGGGTTGCGGCGCTCATCTCGCTTTATTGGCCGAGGGAGCCGGCATACAGCTTCCGGGTCATGTGGCCAGCATGACTAAGCCGCTTCTGGCAAACCAGAGCAGCACACGGAAACACCGTTTACCTTCCCGCCGGAACGGTACTTATTTATCTATTTGATGTGCTTTCGAACTGCTAGGTTGGCAGGAGCAGGGACTGAGCAACGGGAGCTCACCCCATCGTGGGGATTTGAACCGCCGACCTGATCGGCAAGTCCTAGGCTCTGTGGTTTAACCCACAGCGCCACCCTCGTCCCTATGTCAATTTATTGGCCAGCCCTATTTACAACACATTGAATCATAAAATAAAACAACCCGGAATAAAATAAATTCAAGCATCAGGGAAATATTTCACATCTCTAAGGGAAATTTTGCTTTCCACATATTTATTTGCTGACTTAATTTATAGAGCTGCCCCATAGCAGAAGGACTCTAGGAAGGCAGTGGGGTGTTAAGAGTGTTGGGACGAGGATGTGGGAGATGAGGTTTCGAATCCCCACTCCATCATGCAGCTGCGACTGACCTTTGAGTCAGTCACAGCCTGTTCACCTACCTCACAGGGTCATTGTAGAGATTAACGGACGAGGGGGGTGAACCATGGGCTCCTTGGGATAGAAATGCAAGAAATAAGCTCTTCTGCTAACCTGCTTGAGAAAGCCAGAGGGGCCAGCCAGGCGGAGATGTCGGTCGCCAGCTGGTGCCCAGAGATCTTTGCAGGGTCACGTGAGGTGGGATTTGAACCCTGTTCTCCCAGCTCCTACTCTGATATTTTCACCCCTCAATGCCTTCCTAGAGCACTTCTGCTATGGGGCAGCTTTATAAATTAAGCAGGTAGATAAATACAGGGAAAGCAAAATGTCCTTGAGAGAAGGATCTGAAATATTTCTCCTGAAGCTTGAATTGGCTTCATTCTGCACTGGTGCCTGCAGATTTCCAGCACTGCTCCCTCCCAGCGACGCTAAGGTCTAGAACCTTAGGCTTGCACACAAAAGCCGATGGTTGGCAACTTCTGCATTGTTGCCTTGGGAGGGTGGTTTAGTGTTTGAAGCCGCCTTGCCGAGAGGGAGGGCAAAACTCCTGTGGCCAACAGACGCTCACCCTCTTCCTTCCTTCCTCCTCCCTTCCAGGTGACCCTGATCCCCACCTTTGACTCCCTGGTGATGCATGAGTGGTACGCAGAGACGCTGGAGCGGCAGCAGGCGCTGGGCGTCACCGTCCTGGGCAGCAACAGCATGGTGGCCATGCAGGATGAGACCTTCCCAGCCTGCAAAGTGGAGTTCTGAAGCCTCCCTCTCCCCCTTGGGGCACGTCTGTGGGGGGAATGGGAGACGAGAGGGACCTCTGTGGGTACTGGGGGGGCAGGGGTAGAGACCCCCCACCCCACACTAAGACACTTCCAAAGCCCCCCCAGCAAACCTTACCCACACTGTTCTGTGTCTGGTCTGTTTGCATGTTTCGCCCCTTCACACACACCCTGAGCTTCTAACCCTGGTCAAGCGCAGAGATTTAGGATTTGGGGAGCTGTGGTGTTTGGCCAGCAGCCCCACCCCAAAAGGCCTTTGGCCAGGCATTCCTGGCCTGGGGTGGAGGGTGGGGTCTGCTCTGACAAGGGGCAGAGTGCAGGGGCCCCTCCTCAAAAATCCGCCTGGAGGGTGGTCAGTTTACCTACAGGACCCTTTTTTAAAAAGAAAAACTTTTTTTTTAAAAGAGTGAAACCGGGTCTTTGGGGGCGGTGTGTGTGTCTGCTTATTTTAAGAGGCAGCTCCGATTTCCCAGTTTGGGGTCCTGGCAGGGAGCTGTTTATTTCCACTCGGGGGTGTGTGCTTGGCTTTCTGAGGTCGCTCCCTGCAACAGCGCCCCCCTTCCCTTAAAAATATCCCATCTCCTCCTTGGGGCCGACTCTCCATCCTACCCTTTTAAAATCTGGTTGGGCCCATAGCCGATGCTTCCTCTTGGGGGGTCCGGAGCCAAAATTCCCCCTGGAATTGATCTCTCTCTCTCTCTCTTGGAGATCACCTTCCCCCTACCCCTCTCAAAACAACTCCCCCCTCCCCAATTTCTTCTACCTCTTTATGTTGAACGCCAGCAGTGTGTTGTGTTGCGTTTCATCCCGAGGCCTGTCTTGTTCATCTCGGGATGCGTTAATCCACAAAGACTACTCTGTAAAATCCAGCCAAAGCACACCCCTTTCCAAAAAACCTTCTCCCCCCACTAAAAATACCACCTCCCTTTTTCTCACTCCCTTAATGTTTGAAGGAGCACCAGGGTGGGGTGGCAGAATGTGCCCCCTCTCCCCTTGCAAAATGTGACACTAAACTTATGTTTCTTTTTTTTTTAAGGAAGGAAAAGGTGCGGGTTTTCCACCCCCCTTTAAATGTGCATTTTTTTCTATAAAAAAGACAAAAAAGCAAACAAAAAACAACCATATACAAAACTGTTAATGTATTGAAAGTTTTTTTGTCCTCTTCCCCCCCCCCCATAATTTATAGGATCACTTTTACACCTTCCTGGCTGGGCACCGCAGCAGGCGGGAGTCAAGGGGTGCAGCGTAGAAGAAGGAAACCCCCTTTTCCCCTCCCGTCCTCCTGCCCCCCAACCAGGACAGGCACTGTGTTCGAGTCCTGTGTGGTGTGTGTTTAGGACGGTCTTCACCAACCCTGGTGCCCCTGGTGGGGGGATATTTTGGGGCACTGATGGGAGTTTTATAGGGTCCCCCAAGACCCACGGTTGGGGGCCACGGTTGGTTTAGATGAAACGTGTTTTTTGTGGGGAGCGGGGTAAGTTGAGAATGTTTTTCACCACCTTTAGTGCTTTATACATACATATATATCTATATAAGTATATATAGATATCTCTGTTCTGCTTAGTTGGAAGCCCATTGGGAAGAGCAGAAAGGTCAAGGGACGGAAGAGGCAGCCAGCACGCGACCGGCCCCCCAACTCTTAGGAGGGCACCACTCTTGGGGGGGGGCTGAGCCCTTTTCTATGCTCTTCACTCTCTCTCACCCTCACCTTTGTAGCCGTTGACACACTCCAAAGCCATGTGACCCGCTCACGAGTTGCCGTGTCCATCCACACCCGGAATTGCAGAAGTGAAGAAAACAAAACACTGTGTTGGAACCTCTTTAGAAAAAGCAAAACCCTGAGGGGTACAAGAGATAAAAGGTGTTAGACTTCTTTCTGGCCGCTGTGTCTTTCTTCCACTGCGTGGGTTTGTGTCCCCTGAGTCAAACTCTGACTGTGACCCTCTTCTGGACCTTGCAGGGTGGGCTCATGTCCCTCTCGGCAGCGGACCCCTCTGAGCACCAGCTAATCAGCGGCTCGGAAAAGCCCCCAAAGACAGCAGCTGGATTTATTTATTCATTTAGGGCAGCGGTTCTCAACAGGTGGTCTGCGGACCTGGAGTCCACCCAGGGTGGTCTGCACCACCATTCACATAACAAAAATGACCATAGGGAGATTGAAATGTTTAAAAGTAGGGGTCCGTGGCCTGGCATTTGAAAAACAGGGGGTCTGCGGTACTTAGCTAATTGGAAAGCAGTGCTTTGGGGTGTTTGCACTCCGCTCTTCAGGCAGAAGGGTCCATTTCACAGGCTTGTCATCTTTAACAAATCCTCTGCACCACAAAGAAAGAGAGACAGGGAGGGAAGAGGAAAATGAAAACTAGAAAACAAAAACCAGAACTTGGGCACAGGGTTTGAAACAGCTGTTCTGATAACGGCCGGTTGGCACAGTCCAGGAGCAGGAGGTCCCTGTGTTTCCGAGGGGTTGGGCTAGATGTCCCTTGGGGGTCCCTTCCAGCTCTGGGATTCTAGCAGGTACTTTGACCCAATTGATGGAGGCAGCCTTGCTGCTTCCCACCTCTCTCCCACTGAGGCGGAAGTGTCCGGAGCCTGAAATGCCCCAGGCCCCAAATACCAGAAAGGCTGTCTCCTTCCCTACAGACCTGGGAGTTGAAATCAGCAAGCCCCCCCCGCCTTTTCTCCCTGGTGTTGGGAACAGTCTTTCCAAGGCCTGCACAGTTCTTGCTAAGGCAAGGCATTGCGCCCCACCCTGGGTGATCAATGTGACAGCAATAATCGGAATCTCCCTAACACCGTCTCTGCCTGTGAATGGGAAACAGGTTTGGGGGCTTCCCAATATCGAAAGGTGGGGATAGAGGGCAGGTCTAATCGTCTTGGCCATTTTCTGGAATTGACAGCTCCTGCGAACCTACAGAGAGCCCAAGGGGGCCATCCAACCTTGGCGTATCAATGTAATGACATAGCAGCCTGTGGACGTAAAATATAAAATAAAAGGATTTCATCAAAATGTTAGGCACCCATAATAAAAAAGGACGAGCCCAAGGAGTAAAAAGAGGCAAAGCTGCAATTAAAACTTGCTTTGGAGGTGGGAGAGCGGTGGGATGCGACTCTGGTGTCCCTAGGGGAAAAGCCTTTCTGCACATTTTTAGGGCCAAATGCCTCTCAGAAGGTGGGAATTGAGGTAGACTGCCTTTGGACCTGGAGGTTTCACTAGAAGGGCCTGGATGTAGCTGTATCAGGCAAACTTGGGGGGTCCTGGTCCAGCATCCTGTCCTCACAGTGGCCACTCGGGTCCCCCAAAGGGAAGCCCACAAGCCGGCCCTGAATAAAATAGCACCTGTCCCCTCCTGTGGTTTCTGGCATTTGGAGGTTAGCAGCCATCAGTTGCCGCCTTGCTGCATTCCTTTTTCACGATGCTTACAAGAAAGTCCTTCCCGCAGCGCAGTATCAGACTCTGGAACTCTCTGCCACAGGAGGCAGGGACAGCCACCAACTTGGGCAAATTCATGGGGGGGGCAGATGGCTGCTAGCCAGGGTGGCTCTGTTCGCGATTCTTCTGAATCCCAGTTGCTGGAAACTGGAGGAGGGCAGAGCTGCTCTTGTGTTCGAATCCTGCCTGTTGTTTTCCCATCGTGGTTGGCCACTGTGAAGACAGGATGCTGGGGTGCAAAATGGACCATAGGCCTGATCCAGCAGCTCTTTGGGTGCTTGCTCTCAATTTTAGGGTCGTGGGTTGGAGCCCCGTGTTGGACAGAAATATTCCTGCCTTGCAGGGGGTTGGAGTGGATGACCCTTGAGGTCTCTACCATCTACAGTCCCGTGATTCCTGCACCTCTTGCCAAGGGAGGGGCAGCGGCAAGTGGCATCAGATCCACCCACCACTACGAAGGGAAGATGCTCTGGACTGAGTCCATGGCTCTCCCCTCCCCATTTATGTCCTCTAATAGCTCTGTTGCTATTGGTTGCGCAGGAAGAAGGGATGGAGGGGGAAGAGAGTTTGTTGCCATGGCAACCGCCTGGGTGGAAGATGCTGTTTCAAAGCATCCCCAGGTTGGACCACCAGGGACTCGCCTCACCTGCCACACCTGTGCAGACATCCTTTGCCACCTTCCTTACTGACAAAGGGTTCACTGTCTGTGCAGGCCGGCTTAAGCAAAGGAAGGGGGAGCTTCTTGAGCTCATTGATAGGGGCTTCCTCGGGAATAAATGGATCAGGTTCAGAAGCAATGCTTTGGGGAGGTGTGTGTCTGTGTGTTTGATTCCAGACCGACTAGCTTTAAAAGTCGGAGGCAGCCCTTTGGAGATGTAAAAACAGAATTTCTGGGCAGCCCATTCTGACTGGAAGCTGCGCTCAAGAAGACCAGGTTGGCGAAGGTGGATCTAACCCATTAATCGGTGGAGCCTTCAGGTTGCCCCATTTAATTCTGCATTGCCTCGATCTTAATGATTGTGTCGTCTTTACAAACAACCCGGGCAAAGGAGTCGAGGGGATGCTCATTGAATCTGCAGACAGCTCCAAACGGGGAGGGGGAGCGAATGCCGCAAAAAACAGAATCAAAATGATTGGAGACCTGGGCTCAAAACTAACAAAACAAATTTTCAAAGAGACAAATGTCAGGTTGGCACTTGGGCTGGAAGAACCAGATGCATAAATGTAGGAAGGGGGACACCTGGTTTGCCAGTAGTACATGGGGAAAGGATCTAGAGGACTTGGTGAACCACAAGCCGAACATGAGTCAACAGTTACAGATAGGTAGCCGTGTTGGTCTGCCATAGTAAAAACAAAAAAAATTCCTTCCAGTGTATCTGAAGAAGTGTGCATGCACACGAAAGCTCATACCAAGAACTATGAGTCAACAGTGTGATGCAGCAGCAAAAAAAGAGCTAACACTATTCTAGAGAAGACATCAAGAGAAGTCATAGTGCCACTCTATTCTGCCTTGGTCAGGTCACACCTGGAATACTGTGTCCAGTTCTGGGCACCACAATTTAAGGAGGAGATTGCCAAACAAACATGCTGGAATGTGAGCAGAGGAGGATGGCGAAGCCTGATGAGGAGCAGTTGAGGGCTGTCACATGGAAGAGGGAACGAGCTTGTTTCCTGCTGCTCTGGAGGGCAGGACTTGAACCCCTGGCTTCAAGTCACAAGAAAAGAGATTCTGACTCCACATCAGGAAGAACTTTCTGACAGTAAGAGCTGTTCAAGAGCGGAACGGTGGTGGACTCTCCTTCCTTGGAGATCTTTGAGCAGAGGTTGGACGGCCATCTGTCAGGGATGCGTTAGCTGAGATTCCTTCCTTGCAGGGGGTTCGACTGGATGGCCCTTGGGGTCCCTTCCAATTTTGCAATTCTACAATTCTATTCTGTGATCTAACCCAGGGCTCCGCACTGCATCACTGTTGACCATCACAGGCACTCATTGTCTTAGCAGAACAAGTTCTAGTTTCATACAGGAGATGACGAACCGCCTTCCTCTGCCAAGCAAGTTCTTCGTTTTGTGGGTTGGTTTCTTCTTTTAATTGCACCTGCTGTTTTTCTGAGCTTCCTCCTTCTGGCCTGCTTTTTGCAACTTGGGCTTTTTCCGTCTTCTGAGGCCTGCAGTGCTGAGTTGAGCCTTGCAAGGACGCAAGACGCCACCTGGATCTTGGGGATGCAGCTCTGGAAGACTAGGCTCAGTCCTGCCCTAGGCCAAGTGGGGGGGGGGTGCGTTTGCATGTCGGATTGAAGTGCAAGCCACGCAGGCTGTTATGCCACTGGTGTGGATGGAGAGATCCATCATAGGGCTGTTGTGAGCCTGGATAGCTCAGTTGGGTGGAGCCTGGTGCTGACAATACCAAAGTCGCAGATTTGATCCCCACACGGGACAGCTGCATATATTCCTGCTTGCAGGGGGTTGGACTGGATGACCCTTGGGGGCCCCTTTCAACTGTACAATTCTGTGATTTCTTGGTGGTTCCTGGAGGGCCTGAAATGGGGTGGCTCCTCCTCTCTCGCACATAGGTCAGGTTCAATAGCTGAGATTTCTGCCTTGAGGGGGGGGGTGTTGGCTAGATGACTCTCAGGGTTCCTCCCAAACCTACAATTCTATGATTTTAAGTCCCCCCCCCCATTTTGTAGTTCTTGGGGAGGGGTTTTTATATTGTTGGCTTTGTGCATTTTTTGCCTCTCTCCCTACGCTGCCCCCCTATCCCCAAAATGACAGTTTACAAGCAGGTGAAAAGGATGCGGCCTCTTTAAATATGCAAATGAGCTTCCCGGGTGGGCTGGGACGGGGGGGGCGAGGCTAGCCCAGAAGCCGCGTTTGCTGGCGGGCGGGGCAGCCAATCAGGAGCCAGCCTCCTGTCCTCCTCGGAGCCCCGCCCCTTTCCTCCTCCTCCCTGCAGCGCGGGGGGGGGCAGCCTTTTCTCCTCCCCCTTCTCCCCTCCCCCCTCTTTTTTGCAAAAACGAAAGAGGGGAGCGGAGCAGGTGCCGGGGATGCCGAGGGGCGGAAACAGGTCAGTGCATTTGCCCCCCCCCGGCCTGGTATTATTATCACCCACCTTTTGCACACCCATGCAGGTTTTTTTTTGGGGGGGGGGGCTGCAGCTTTGCAAGAAAACTGCCCATGCAAGAATTTCAAAGATCGGGGGTGGCGGGGGTGGATCCGGCCACCCCCGCCAAGACCCCTGTTTGCAATATTTAATTCGGGTGGGGGAGATAAAGAAAAACCCTAATTAGCTGTATCAAGAGGCGGACGCTGTGGGTTAATTTTTAGGGGGTGGGGGAAGCTGCTCCCAAATTTCTTGGTTCCGATTATTATCCAGCACAGACAGCGCCAAAAAATTAGAATCCCACCGTGGGAGAAAAACAATTACGGTAATATATATTTTCCAT